GGGGGCCATGTTTGACCAGCTTTGCATCACGTGTGTCGCCGGAAGCAGCTCGGCACAATACAGGCTTGTATGATGCTCCTAATAAACACTAGTAAGCAGGTTTTTGGATTGCCGCATCATACCTTCGCGAGTTGTTTCTGTAATGTTTGTACAGTTGCGTAGCCAGAGTCTCAAGCCCAAGTCCTCACATGTTTGCTTCGATCAACCTTGAAACTCACTTCACCTTAACCTGCGGGACCTGTGACCGCCCTGCCAACCTTCCCGCAAAAAGCGCGGCCTTCCAAACGTGGTCCCAAACGAACGCGCCCTTGCTGTCCCGGGCGATGGAGTGGTTGGCCCTTGCTGCGATGCAGAACACCCTGATGATGCAAGAGCAACTCCAGCAGGTTGCCACCTCACAGGTGCGAGCTTTTGGGAGCTATTCTGAAGTGGTGGATGCAGTGGATACGGGATGATACCGGTGTTTCTTCACGGTAGCTTGTACTCCTACGTGTTTTGGACCAGAGCTATGTATAGGGGTAGACATACATGATCGACACCTGTCGTCCATTAAGGGTGGTGGTGGCGGCGGCGGCGGTGGTGGTGTTGGTGGTGGTGGACCATCGGGAAGATGCAGGGTGAACGGGTCGAATCCTCAATGGCAAGTCCAGCTAGTTGCACCAAGCCCTGGTGGTTCTGGCGATGTGGGAACCACCGCCGGTTCGCCGGTTGGAGTTTGGGCCGACACGAGTTGAGAGAGTTGAGAGAAACGAAGGAGACCAGCTCTGAAATCGTCCTTTGAAACAGAGTATCGGTGTATGATTTTTGTTGTAAACACTTCTCTGTCGAGGTGCACGGTGGAACGTTGTTCCCACCCGGTGGAACCCGCGGAACGGCGCAGCTCGACCTCGCTGTTCCAGGAGGTCACTGCCGCGCCCAAGAAGAAGACGATGACGGCCAGGACGGTCGGGAGAAGCTCCGCGTGGACCTGGCACGTCGCTGGGGTGGGATGTGGAGCAAGGGCGATCTACAGTGAATCAAAAGAGGAACCGATGACTGTGGAGGTGATGGGATGTGCTTGGTTTGTTGACATGTGGAGATGGCGACTTTCGATGGCTTTGTTGGACGGATGTGCTGATGTGACTGAGCGACAGGACCAAGTCCAATTTGTCCTATGTGAAGCAACACCGTCCAGAGCTCTTCAAAGCGAAGGGAGGAGATGCGCAGGAGATGAATGGATGGCTTGCATGGACCCCATATTCCCCTTTTAACTCCGTGTTCCAGAATAATATATATATATATTATTTTAGATATACCTGCTGGCTCAGAATCTGTTTTGATTAACTTTGTATATATGCTGCTATTTTTCAAGGCTTGAGAAATTGCTGTTTGTTTTGGGTGGGGAATATTAGTTGGTGTCACACCGATCCCTTTGGAGCCCTTGTGGCGGCCTGTTTTTCAGGAGGCTCAGGATGCGGTGCCAGGCTTCAAGCCCTATGGGGAGGAGAGGGAGCAGCTTCGGTGTCTTGGAGTTTTTACATCTTGGACACCTTTTCCCAGTCTGAGAGTCGAAATCACATGAAATCACCATCTGAGTCGCCTAGACGCCACACGCATGGTGACCATGCCGAAGCCGCCGATGCAGATTGGTCAAGGAGGGCTGGCTCCACAACCCGGACACGGGGGTGTTTCTGGAACCTGGTGGGCAGAAGCTGTGGTTTGACCCGGAGGCCACCGTGGTTTTTTGGGGCTCGCGGCGCGTGTGGTTTGGGGCTCGGCTTTTGGGGCTTGGGAGCCAAAACTGCCAGAGAGAGGGGGGTGATTTCCAGCACCGAGCTCCGTTCAGGTGAAAGAGTACAAAGAGCTCTTCGAGGTCCGACCAGGGAGACTCTCGGGCTCCGGGGGACACAGACGACTCGGCATAGGATGACACTTCGCGTGACTTCGCTCCAGTTTCACAGGGCTCGGTGCTGCCTCTCTGTGCTCATGGCGGAGCCAGCTCAAGTACGGCCACCAGCAAGCCCGGGGCGCCAAATTACGGGGGGCACATTCTTTTGACGCCTAGAGCGCAGTCCCCCTCGGGTGGCCCGTATACCAGTGTGAGCAACAGCATTGCGGTGGGATGATTCAGGGGCTTCTCTGTTTCCGTCGATTTCTGAGGCACTTGTTCATCCCTGACTTGCACCGCACTGCACAAGCCCTGAAGGCGGGTCCATTGGAACCGAAAACAAACACTCCAGGAAAAACCTGATAGATTGGCACTGCACAAGTCTATTGCGTTCTAAAAGGATCGATCTCCCTCTCTCCCTCGCTCGTTTTGTATATGGTGGCTCAAGCATGGAAAACCCTATGAAACCCAAACATCACCGAACAGACATGAACCGAGCTCAAACAAGTCCAGACACAACCAACCGAGCTCAATTCGGGCCTCTTTTTTCACCAAGTCACCGGTCGATCTCGATGGAGTCGTCCCCGTGGAGGCCGACCTGGGACATTTGGATCGCCCGGCTGCCTTGCTCGCCTTGTTGGCCGGGACGCCCTGATGAGGTTTGATTGGGAGGACCACATTGGTGTGGGGGGTAGTATGGATTTCTGATGACTACAACATACAACCCGAAATGGTTTTAGAGAATCTGGCTTGGAGTATCGTCTCCCAAACCGCACAACTGTGGGGGGTGCTGTGACTTTCCGGTGCCTGCAGAGACCTCTCCAGGAAAAAGTAGCAATGTAACTTCTGGGTAGGAGCTCGTCGAAGGGCCTGAAGGAAATCGTCGTGGGATTTCGTGGGCCAGTGGTCCTGTCAAGTCCAGTCTTCATATATAAAGTAGGATCGTGGCAGGGAATCATGACCCAGAAGACTCTCATTTAGAACACCGAATCGAATGAACATCCTGAAGGGCTGTTGCAACACCTCATACATTCCGGCTTGTCCGTGGTTCAAACCATGGTTCAAAACATTTCAACACCATCCTGAAGGCCTTCAAATCATCCTGTGGTTCAAACATGTGCGGGGTTGTCCGAACCACAAGCCTCCACGCCCGCGAGCCACCGGGCCACAGGACGCCGCGAGCGCCCCGCCGCATGAGCGGCTGATCCGGCGACTGGCCGCATGCCGCAGCGAGTGGTCTATGGAGGCCCTGTGGAAAGGAATGAAAGGGCGAGGTGGTCTTGGTGAAACATAGTGAATTTGGCCTTTTGATGTAGGGAAGAAGGATGAAAAATGGATTTGCTGGCAGTTCTTGCAAAGGATTTCTGGGAGTTGGTGCTGTTCATGGTAGATTGAAGTACAGAATGACATAGGATGACTAGATTCAATAGGTCTTCCCTGGAAAATTACAGAGGGTTCACTGCCTGCCCACCAGCCTTCACTAGGCAATGTCCAGGGCTATCAGCCGGGTGCTTGCAGACTGCGACCAGGTGGGGAGAAATCGGGAAATCGGGAAATGGGTCCAAGCGGCCCAGGGTTCTGACCTTGGGACGAAGCGCTTGATCTTGCTTTTGAGTTGGGGATCTCCTGTTATACAGGAAGTTCAGGGGGCTTTTCCAGCTGGAGCTGTGGTTCTTGAGGGAGCCGTGGTTCCACATTTGCTTCGGCACATCGAAGAGCACCTGGAATCTGTGCGGCCGACATGGAATCTGTGAGCCGTTCCGTGGACGTTCCCAGCTCCCCATGCGCAGGCCCAAAGTATCGCGCTGGCATTGGTGGTGGGCCAAAGAGCCTTCGCTGCGGCGTTTCGGGGGGCACGGTGTTGGCGTTTCGGGGAGCTCGGACCCTCAGAGGGACATGGAGTCACCAAAGCAGACTTCATGAAGTGTGAAGTAAGGATTCTTGAAGAGGTACTGTAATTATTATTATATACTGCTACTGTTACTATTGTATCTAGACAAACTATGCACTGGAGCTGGCATCCTGAGGCTAGGAGGAGAAGCCTCTGCAGAAGCGCGAGATTCAAAGGCCAGCAGGGAGGAAGTCTCAGATACACTGGCCGGTGTCACCCTGGCGAATGATCTGAATCGTTGAGAACACATGGGGATTGCGCCGGCTGGTTTCCCGAGCCCGGCGCGGCAATTGTATGGATCTATACAGGGTGCACGAGTCTCAGGTGCTTTGCCACGACTTTGAGAAGTCTGGTGCTGCCTACGTGGTCCTCTCGATGGGAGATTTGGGTCTAAAGGCTTCAGAGGCACAGTCTGCTGCGCAGTCGGCGGTGCAGTGGGCATGGAAAAACCAAGAACCCTGGAGCCCATTGGCAGTCAACCAAGTTCTGGATGCTTGGTGGTCCGAAAATAAGGGTCAATCAGGTTCTAGGTCTACCGTCCTTGAACGAAGCCACCGGATTTGTGCGAACGGGCACCTCCATGAAACCGGTCACCACCCTACTGCGACTCACTCGAGAAAACAAAGAGGGCTGGACGTTTGGAAAAAGACACATGTTCCCTTGCGACATGACCTGCAGAGGGCCTGCAGCCGCAGCCATGTCAAGATACGCATGTCTACATTTTTGGGATTCCTCAATGGATCGCATAGACATATAGAACAGATGTCCATTATGACTCATCTATTGTGATTTGTGCCTTTTAGGGGTCGCAGATCCGAATATGATCACAACGCGGGCGGGGAGACCCGCCTGGTCGCCCTTTCTTCGACCGAATCGATGGTCGCAGATCCGAGAAGTGGTGCTGCCTCACCTCACTCAAGCCAGGTGGGGAACCAAACCGAGACCGGTGGAGGAATGGTTTTGTTGCACCGGTTTCTGAAAGGTGGATCCGGATCCTGTAACGAGGGGGTGAAAAACCGCATATTAGAAGAGTACCATGCTCTTTCTCAACTTTGGTTGATGGCTTCCCCTACTTTCATGCCATTTCTTGCGGCGCCAGGCCACGAGCAGCCAGTCTGAGCCTGCGGCAGGCTGCCCAAGGGGTCGGCATTGGTTGCATGAGGCGCGTGGGATCCGAGCGCGGAGGACCACCCATGCTGGGACAAGGCAGGTCTGGGCGTACCAGCCCAGCTCTAGGCAAGGTCTAGGTCTAGGAGTTTCTGATTGAGCACTTCCATCAAGATTCAAGAACTAATCAGTCCTTTGGAGTCTTTTGGGAGTGGAGCCAAAAACCCACCAAGGCAGGGTGACGCTCCGTTGGCACCCTGGCCGAACACCCGAACACACCCACCGGTGGACGGAGAGGTTGCGGAGGCCCTTCGGAGGATGACCCGCGGGAGAACCTCCCGCCACGGTCAGGTTAGCAGCCTCAGGTGGTCCAGCTGGGCCCGCCACGTCAGTCCCAGGGCCCCTCGGCGGCTGGGTTGGCTGGGTTGGCTTCCCCCCCCACCATATTTTTGGACACGTGGATGTTGCTCTTGGATTCATTTCTCTCCGGCAGTTGAAGGCCGCTCCAGCGGTAGTTGTGGAAAGCCATTCCTCCTTCTTTCCAAAGTGCTACACTACATCCACAAAAGATGCATTTTTGGGGTCCTTTGCTGAGGCTTTCATTGGCCACACTTGCAACCGACCGTTCACCAAGGCAGCCTGCCAAGCGGCAGCGCGTGGTGGGTGTGGATGCCAGGGAGGCGCGGCCGCCCAGTGTGACGAGGGGTCAAGGGACGCAGCAGCTGCTGTTGCTGCAACACCAAGCGATCCACCTTGCCGCACCTGCCAGGTGCCCGGACGCGTGCGCATCCGGCAAATCCTCTTGCGAGCCTGGCGTGGGGGAACGGCACCGAAGCCAGAGGAGCCGACAGATTGGGAATCCTTGACAGGTGAATAGACACAGGAATGCAAGGGCATGTAGATCAATTGTTTAAATAGATGAATGAATCATGTTCATGTACAGGATGCTGCGAACGATATTATGATATTGCATTACGTACTTCTGGCTATTTTTTTCATGTTGTTTTTTTCCCCCTAAGTGGGCAATCCGGGCACTTGTTGAATCAGCTTTGCAGTTCAACCTTTTCAATGTGAGAAGATATTGTTAAACTCAGTCTTAAGCCCCAGCACCGGCACCGGCCATGAGGCCGTTTCTCCAGGTTTATACACATACATATCACATATCATATACATATAATTATATATATATATATATTATACAGTATATACATACAAGTTTTACGAGGCGTTTTGTGGGCGACAGCCCCTGACAGCTCAGCAAAGTCAAGTCAAAAGCCCCCTACCTTGTTCTGATTGCCCGACAGGACCCGGTCCGACGCAAGCAGATCCTTCGAAGCCCGGAGGAGAGATTCATCCGTTTCTTCTTTGGGGTGCTGGTCAAAGCAATTGCCCAGTCTACCATAGAAATTCCATGGAAATCATAGTTCCACACTACCAAGGGTGGTGACTATATAGTTGTTTTGAAATTGCTGTCGCGGTTTACACCAGGGCCCGGTGGTGGTCCAGGATTTGTTTAATCACGTTGGTCTCAGCAATGTTGGTCTCAGCCGACAGGCTATTTCCGTTGAGTGGATATCCAATACATCCGGAGGCCCTGAGGCATTGGCGCTAAGCGATTTTAATCCCACCGAAAAAGACTCCGGAAGCTTTTAAACTTGAAGAAAAGGCTATGTAGATTTATATGTCTATAGATTGATTCTATATAGTTTGCTGCTGGTGAACATGTGGTCAGTCGCCCTTGCCTCTAGGAGGCTGAACAGCGGATGCTGCAGGTGCAATTTCCTGAGTGGTTGCCACGCTGGAAGAAGCTTTTGTGGTTCAACACGCACAGTTTTACGCTGGCCGAGTTCATTGCAAGCCATTTTCGAGAGAACATGTGAACAACTTGGCCGGGGAGATCCTGGGACTCGCCCCCCACCCAAGGGGTTTTGTGGCTTTGCTTCTTGTCAAGGCTCAAGGTGGCAGCCACCACCTCAAATCTCCCCAGCTTAACCCCCGCCCCAAGGGGTTTTGGTTTTGGTCTACACTCCCTTGAAACAATCATGGAAGTGGAAAATGGCCTGTTGGAGGACCATCTTCCGAATACCAAACAGGTGGCGCCCTCCATCTTCCGCGGAGTGTCGGTCTGGTCCGCCCGGAACGAACACGTCCGGCAGGTCTTGGACGAACTGTCCAAAGAGGGTCCCGCTTCTCAGATTTGGCGAACTTGAGCTTTCGTGTCGGATGGAAGGCTGAGCAAGGTTTTGATTTGTAAGGAATCAGCTTCAAACGATTTGCATCGATTTGCTCAAATGTCCTTGTCAGTTGGAGACTTGCAAGAGGATTTTGGTTTTTACTTGCCAGAGTCGATCGCACAAAACAGGTCATCCCTCAACTCCCCTTTCATAGAGACACCCTTGAGTAATCTCGACCCCCTTTTGCGTCTCAATCAGGGAGATGGTTGCCAGCAAAAAAGCACCTCTAAAATCCATGAACATCCTCCAATCACATCCTATGCCTTGCGGAACCATGGCGTTCTCGGATGTCCCTGAGGTGGCGCCACGCTGGCGAAGGCCTTCACGGCCGCCTGCCGAACGACATCGGAGTGCTGGGGAGCCCGGTGGACAATGCCCGGGAGGTCTCAGAAGTGTTGTTTGGATCGGATACAGACGATACAGTAGGCCTTTCAGAGGGAATTTCACGGGTTGCATCGGTTTGATGTTGGATCCACAGAGAGCAGTTTAGGAACAGGTTGATGTACCAAATACTAAATTGTGACATCCACTGGCGAGAGGACGAGGAACCACATTTTTGAGCTGGTGCTTTAGCTAGTCCGCGACTCATTCGACCAGATGATGCTCAACTTGCCCAACTCCTCTCCGTTGACTCTTGCGCGCTGGAACAAAACTGTGCGCGAGGCCAGTCCTCCTTGCAGGGTGGCGAGCTGGCGGGTGATTTGGGATGGCTTGACAAGGATAAAGGCGCGGTGGTGCTTTAGGTGCTTTGCGATCGGTGGTGTTTTTGTTCCACTCAGTCAATGGACCCCCCCGCTTTCAAATTTCAGACGGGTCGCACGCAAGCGATCCTTCGTATGTTTTTCCAGGTGACTGATGGAAGACCTGTATTTGCTCCAAGGTCCTCCAACATGCCCAACATGTCTTGGGCGTTTCGGTTCCCTCATGCTCTACGGACCTGAATGAATGACGGTTTCAGTCAATGGCAATGGTGTTTTCGTGTGACACGCATCTAACCTTGAGGAGCTTGGGGTTTTCATCCAGGAGCGTGCCCGTTCGGGAACACGCGTGCCAATTTGCCTTCAGCCAGGCATTGACGCCCAGCGCGCCAACGCCAAGATGGTCAGGCGGCTCGCGGCGGCGCTTGGAGCGGTCGCGGTTGGGCCCCAGAAATACCGCTGTCGTTGCTCCGGCAGCCAGAGGTGAAGAGCCTTCGGCCGTCCGGTCCGGAACGCTGCAGGTGGATTTCCACCGCAGAGAGCAGGGGGAAACGGTCTTTCGGCTGCTCCAGTCCTTTCGCTTCATGATTCTTCGGTGGGAAGACCTCGCCGTCAGGCTGTCCATAGTCGTCGCCCGGGAAGAGTCGTTTTCATTCTTTTTCGCGCGCCAAGGAAAGCTTGGGACATAAATGCATAACTCCGTTCCGGCTTGGTGTGCCCAACCTGAAGGAAGAATCCACCGCAGCGAGAAAAGGTAATTGCGCGACTTGTTGATTCTTGAGATGTTGTGCCGTGTCGCGTTATTTGCACTGAATATTGAATATTGCGGTCCCTGCCCAGTGCGGATCAACCAATTTTAGCTCCATCACGGCCGTGCGACGGTGACTGGAATGGCTCCTTGATCACACCGAATCAGCTGACCTATATATATTATATTATGGCTCACCAAGGTCAACCAACGTTGACCGACTCTTTTCTAGATCGACCTCACCTGCACAGGCCTGCAGTCCCAGCGCCGGTGCTGCGCACCGCCTTTGACTTGGAGGCACCGACAGACAAAAGAGCGACCTGCAAGCTACGTGTGGCTTTGGACCAAAGTTTCATTTTGGTTTACCCTGGGTATGTTTGGTTTGTGGTTCTGGATGGTTCTGGGGTGTACTCTGGTTGGTCTTGAATTTTTGAACAACTTCAACCGCCCACTTCAACTCCAAAGTTCAGATGGCTTCCGACCTCCCCCCCAAACCTACGTAGCCTTTATTGGGGATGCTTAGCCGGTGCCTTTGGAGCCCACCGGGCTCCAACGTGTCGTCCGCTTCAGGTGGGTGAGATGAGCGATCTCGTGTCCTCAGAGGTGCATCGGTGATTGGGCCGGTGATTCGGCCTTTTAAGGCTCCGGTAAATTGGGCCGTGACGGCATGCTCGCTGGTTTCTGCGCAGAGCGCGAGAGCATGGGAGCAGTTAGGTTGAGATTCGGGGAAAAGGTAGGTTTGGCAGATTCGAAGCGTGAATGTTGCACGGGATCCGAAGCGGAAGTTTCTGAAAAGCATCCTTGACTATCCTTGATCTAAAGAAGCGTTTGACCCAAGTGTTTGTGTCAGCTTGGGAGGTAGGTACCCTTCAACAGGCACCTCACTTGTTGCCTTGTTTCAGGTGGGTGTGCATCTGCTGCTTCGCTCTGCATGAGTGATTGGTGTGCAGATTGGGCAACTTCGCATGAAGCAGCCACTGTGGTCCCCAACTCCTTTTATCCGGCGACAACCATGTTCGGGTATGGTCTTCTCTGACTTTACTCCCTCAGGGCCTCTTATTCAAGAGAATTCCCATAATTTGACAAGAAGAGCATGCGCATGATGCATTGCGGTAAGTCATATTCAATCTGCTCATAGTTGTGCTACATTGGGAGGCATGTGGTTCGCGGCATTTTGCACCACCACACAGTTCATCAGTGCATTGCAAGCTGTGCAAAGTTGCCTCATGGCATGTCCGCATTGTGCATAGTGACTCCAGACTCTGATGAGTCTGCAGAGAAAAAACGTACACTATCGTTCAGCACGTGTGCGTGATGCAGGGGTTCATATGCTTGCTGGAATAGCGGTAGGGCCAAAACAACTTCTCTGCGTGTCCACAAAGATGAGAAAGAACAAGTGCAAGAAGCCGTCCTTGAGAGATCTGGATCTTTGTAGGCTAAAGGTATAATCGCGAAAGCCAGCCGATAGGCTAGGCTGAAGTTGGGTTGGTCAAACGACGAAGTGAGTAAGGGGGTGTGGGGGGGGTGGTCGAACACGGTTCAATTTCGGAGGGCTAACCTGATAGGGCTAGACTGAGCGAACGAAGTGAGTAAGGGGGTGTGGGGGGGGGTGGTCGCACACGGGTCAATTTCGGAGAGCTAGCCCAGAGCCTGGTGGGGGAGAGCGAAAAAACGAGTACTCGATTGCGACAGAAAATGTATGGTTGTTGGGGTGTTGTGATGCAAGTGATGTAATTGACGGCGAGTACTGCATCATTCGCATCATGAGGGGCTCAGGAGGCAATGTAAACCGTCTTCTACCAGGGGTGGGAGTTCATGTCGATGAGAGGACAGCGGGGACAGCGGGACGTGAAAAGCGGTTGGAACTCTTCCAGGAAAGCCAGGAAAGGGAGATGTACGTCTGGTGGCCATTGAAGTAGTGTTCGACTAGGCGTGACAGGGAGGTGTGTGTCTCTTAAGACACTGTGTGATCTGAGGATGGGTAGGAAAAGAGGGCTTGCAAGAAATCTGGGCGTTGCTTGGGGGTGCCCTTTTTGAGTGGTTCAGATGCCTGTCAACCATACGCAAAAGGGCACCCCATATGGGGTGCGAGTTCATGTACTGATGCGGTCTGTTGGGGGCAGGAAAGAGAACAGAATGCAGCGGGCAAGTTTTGAATTGCTTGGCGGTGCCCTTTTTCAGCTTGAAAAAGCCGTTG